CAGCAGTACGGCTGCTGGCTCTCCCGCCTATTGTCTGGGGCAGGAATGTCTATTTTCTTCCTAGCCGGGCTGTTTCTTTTACGAATCAAAATCAAAGGTCTTCAAGGGAGCCAGAGAGTGCAAAGTCTGGCACTTGCTTTTAGCCTGGCCCCTCTGCTTAAAAAGGGTTCTTCCCTTTTTGTCACCCAATTACTGATCCAGGGACAAGGTCAGGGGGTCAAGACGCTTCAAGATTTCTTTGGTCTCCTCTTTAAAAATAATGCTCGTTAGTGGGACAAGAATGGCAGTGTCCATTGACTGGAGATTAAGCTAAGGCAGAGGATGCCAGTCAAGGGGAGCTACAAAAGGTTACATAAATTCAGGGCAGTTAAAGGGATACCTGTCTGCTGATGGGGGAGGCATTGCTGAGATCTGGCAAAGGCTCTTCAGCGCAGAGCACCCTGGGACCGGGGTTTCTGTAAGGTCACTCGGAGAGTGTTATCATCTGCCAGGGGCACGTAAACTATGTTCCCTGCTGATTTTTTTTCTGCATTATAGTATAATCCACCTTTGCAGTGTTGTGGCTATGCCAGTATTATTGAAGCAGATACAGGTAAAAGCCTAGGTTAAATGGATTTTCACTACCTAAACAGAGACAATCTTTGGGGAGGGTAGTATGCACCGGTCACTTTTTATCTTGGCCACTTTTCTACTGAAGGGACTCAGGAGAAATGCCCGGGCTCTGCACGCTGTTCAGTGGGATTGACAGGCCTTAATCATCTCTAGAGTGTTGCTGGGACCTGTCAGTCTGCTCCTCGACTGGGCTTTTCGCTAGCAGAGACCTCAAACCTGTTTCTCTTTCCCAAACAGAAGAGCACAGGTGAGCTCCAGCCTGCCAGGTGACACCCTGAACTGTCTGGATCCTTTCTAAGGAAAACCCGATGGCCTTGTTCAAATCTCAGTGCCAGGTAGTGAGCAGGCCTGAAGTGGACCCTGATGGAAATCAGGTGAGACTTGTTTGCTTTGATCTTTAATGCCATAGGAGCTTTAGGATCTTGAATTGCTGTTAGAAAAATATTATCGTCTGCAGAAAGACATGCACATAACTTCCAGCACCCCCACCCCCTTTTGCTTTTCTTTTGCTAGCAATTGCTACTGTTTGCAGAGCCTAAGGACATGTTTTTAGCAACTTGTTTGGTACCCAGATTCCAGCTTAATGAGAGCGGAAGGTGCTTGAAGATCAGGGCCTTAACCAATCAGTACTGTAATCTCTAATCCTTTGGGCATATGCTTTTAGCCTGTAAACCACAGGAGAGAAAAACAGCTGTAATCCTATACGGGCTGGTAGCCAGGGCTCTCGGTGGAGCGCTCCTGAAATCCCACAATCACGCCCGTTGCAGGTGAGGAACATTGAGGTCTCCAGTGCAAGTGGCTGAACTGATGGTATGATATCCCCTTCCCTCTTATGAAATAGGTTTAGCTTCCCAACTCTAACTAGGATCTGGGATATGGTAAAGATTTGTGAGGCTGTGCTTTGATCTTGTCCTAATGACTTGCGTTTGAAAAGAAACCAGGGGGAGAAAAATCTGTTTACTCAAATGTAAAGCTTATTATTAGCAAAAAGCAACATTAGCCTAAAGGACAGGATGTTAAAGGGGAAAGGGGAGTCTCTCAGTTTATTTAAATTATTTATAAACCCTGGTGACAGTGAATGAGATGTGTTTCTTCCTAGGTCTCAACTTATATACATGATAGGTCCCCACATTAAACAGGAATTCCTATGCACTTTCCCAGGGAGAGATGTTGCTGGGACTTGTTATTTAGAAAAGGAAGACTCGTGTTCAGACATGCTTACCAAAGAAGGATCGTTTTAGACATCAAACAGCAAACGGCTGGTGTTTGTTGGGATGAACTCCCTAACCTAAAACTGCAAAGATCGTTAGTGCATTATTTTCCTATGGGAGGGGAGAGTTGCAAATCAGTCGCAAAACTTCTCAGGGCAGGAGGTGGCAGGCTTTTTGTGGTGCATGAAAAGGGAAAGATAATGGCTTGTAGATCCTAGGGTGGAGAAATCTCTCTTTCCTAGCAGGAGCCATGGATAGAAAGAAATAGTTGTAAAGCATACAACACTTTACAATAGAAACGTACAAAGAGAAAAAAATATTTCCTTTTCTACCTGTGGAGAGAGAAGGTGATTTTTTTTTTCTTGCAATCATTGCAGTTTTCTTGCAATCCTGCACCTGTAGGAAAGTGAATATACCTGGAGAGCTAGAGGCACAGAGGACACTTTTTGCACTTCTTGCTATGAGAAAAACACACTCCAACCTCCCAATTTTACACCTCCTGCCTTAGCCTTGAATAGTTAGACCCTGACTTTGATTTGTCGCAGGCACAGAATAGGGCTCTTTCCAGCGCGACCTGCAAAACTAGTAGCTTACACCTGCTAAGAGAACCGTGTTTGTTGGTCCGCGCCTTGCATCCCGTCTTTCTCCTCTCCCCCACCCAGCCCCTTGTCTCATTATTGCAAGATGTATCCCAAAAAGCAGCAAACAATCCCAGATTTCCCCACCAGATGTCGCTCCGTGCCAAATTCCTGGATGCCCAGACTGTCTTTTGAAAGGCCCGCTCTGCTTTGGAAAGCTTTGCCTCTCAGACTGAGTTCATCTGTAAGGTGCAAATCTGTAAAGTTTTATACCACATGCAATTGGCTGTCCAGGCAGATAGACCTATTTATTAAAATAAGTGCATTCAGCTGGACCAGGACCAGACACCGCATGGGTGAACCAGGGACCGGACACAAAAGGGGGCTGGATAATGGTAATTTAAAAATTATTATCATCGTGATCTCTGATGAAGGGGGGCTCCGATACTAAAAGTTCGCCCGGGGCCACCAGGACTCTAGGTACGGTGCTGAGCTGGACTTGCGTGAAAAAAGATGTAGCGAAAGAGTGAGGTTTCTTTATTGCTTATGTTGCCAGTGGATAAGTTGGCGTTCTTTATTTGCCCCTTTGTAAAAAGACCGCAGGGAAGAAAGAGGAGGGGCGATGCAGCTAACCTTTGTGACTTCCTTACACACACAGGTGTGCGCTAGCGCCAAGAGCTTTTTCTTCCAAACATTTCCATGACTCCCTGAATTATGACTCGGGGCTTTTTCATATAACCTAGTTCATTTTCCAAGGCTCAGAAACCTTTGCTGAAATCAGTGGGAGCTAATGAGGGCTCAGCACTTCCTAAAAAAAAAAACAAAAAACCCTCTTTGTCTTTGGGAGCCCAAATTTAGGCTCTTTTTTTTTTTTTTTTTTTTTCACAGTCACAGTTAACTTCCCTCCCCTGATCATCACTTTATGTCTCCCCTTCATCTTCTCCCCAGACCTGGGCTCCTTAACTCATGTTCTTGCTAAGGAAGTAAGCAGTCCAATAATGATCTGCTTGTTGTTCGAGTGGCCTCTGCCCCGCCGCCGGGCCCAGTTGGGGCTCCTCTGATCCTGCCTGGCATCCAGCTCGCCTCTCCCTGGCACCGATGTCAAACACTAGCCTAAAAGCAATGGGCAAAGAGAAAAGCCAGTTTGATCTGCAAAGCACTGTTCCCTTTCTTGAGGTTTTCCTCTTCCGCCGGTGCTTTTTATCTCCACCTTCTACTGGGAGGAAGTGTTTTGAAGTCTCAGTCTGACCCGGTTAGATCTGCGTCGTTTCAGTCCTGTTGCTCAGGGGAGATTTGGGTGAGACTAGGGTCTTCCTCAATAGAAGGAAAAAGACCAAAAGTCCTGATGGTGTTTAGGGGATGCTGCCAGTAGATGGCGCGTGTGTAAGCACATTGCTTGCAACTTGCCTTTCCCCCCCTTATTTTCTGCTAGACAAATGCATGTCCCAGCTCTTGGCCAGACCCGCGCGCAGGGTTGTCTGCCTAAAGAGAGTTGAACAGAAAACCTGTGATCAGCTGGTCACGGCACAATACAGCAGCTCCCTTCAGAAGACCGGTAGTACCTGACTCGGTTGGGGTGAAAGGGCATCGGCGTGCACGGAAACATGTCCTGTTTGCATTTGCCTACAAGGTGAACCGCATAGAAATCTGACTCGGCCAAAGGGTGGCTGGAACGTGCCGCTGTGTTTGCAATGGCTGTAGCCCTGCAACGGTGCCATGTTGATAGGCTGATACCCCCAAACCCAGGCAAAATGCAGCCTGACCGGACAGGCCCGCCGGTAAGACAAGCGCTTTGCTCCTGTCTGACATATCCCCTGTCCCTTCTACGCCGCGGGAAAGGGGCAGGGGCTGGGCTGGGAGCTCTGCATCGCGGCTGCCGCCTGCAACAGGAGTCCTCTTCACAGGGCCAGCACTTGTTCCCCGTGGGTTGCTGGGCTGCAGGACAACGGGCACGGGGCAGCGGGGAAGGAGGGGCGATTGTTTTAGGGGTGCTCCGTGACAGGACAGGGAGTTACACCCCGCTCCTGCTGTTACCGGCGGCACTGGGGTGCCTAGGCCAACCCGCGCAGTGTTTGGTGCTGGGGTTCATGGTTGGCAGAAACTTTCTGGAAACTTGAGGGGGCTCCGGGCTAATTTGTTCTCGTGCGCTGCTTATGAAACCAGTTGGGTTCGGCGGAGCGGGAGGCGCGGGGACTTTGCTCAGCCCTCACAGCAGATTAGGGTTCAGGCTGGTCAAGCATTAAACCTACCTTTTTGGCTGCACAGCCTATTTCTGTGGGGCAGAGCCGGACACAGGCAGGGGCGAACCAGACACCGGGACAGAAAGGGGGCCCGAAAATGGTAATTTAAAAATGATTATTATCATTATCTCTGGTGATACTAAAAGTTCGCCCGGGGCTGCTGTGGGGCCTCTGGGTGGGGGGGAAATATCACGACTTTGCCAGGTAGCGAAGACCAGCGCCATGCGATCCCAGGTGTAGTGGTGACCGTGAGAGCCAGGGGAGCGGCAAGGGCCCTCTACCTCCCTTCCCTCACCTGTAGCAGGGGAGTCCTTACTCCAGCCCCTCCCAAGGATGCTGCGGGGCTCGTGTTAGGATTAGGCCCCGAAACGCTGTTAGTCTTGGCAGGTGGAGGTGACGATGCCCTGCCAGTAGCGCTCCGTGCCCTTCCACAACGCTGGCATGAGCTTTCCAGAGAGGCTGCAGGGGAGCCTTTCTTTTCCTCCTCTGCCATTCCCCTCTCTGCCCTCCCAGGAGCTTCTCTGGAGCCTGCGCCGGCGCTATCTGCTAGCCCGGGAGCTGATTATCAGCAAGCGCTTTCAAGATTAGAGACCCATATTTCTGCCTGCTTCCCCCAGAGCCGGCTAGTTTTGAGCTGAATTGGATGCAGACTCCTTGGCTCCGCAGTGCTGATTATTTGGGTAACCTTTCCCTTTTCTGGTAGCTCCCAGAAGAGGATTCAGACAGCCTTTCTGCGTGCGGGTTTGAACAAACCATGTGCATCACCCCAGCTAGACCCCTTCCCCATCAGGGTGACGAGGGCAAAAACGGAGGTGTCTCTAAACTCGAATCCCATTCTGCAACGGTGAAAAAGGCCTTGGTGCATGAGTCCAGGGGCTGCTGGGGTTTTGGTTTTGGGAGG